AGCCCATGGTGATGGACTCAGGGGTTCACTGTCTCCTACAGTGAATTCGGCCAGGCCTTGTAACAGAGGCTGGGCTGAACCCATGTGGCTGATGTGTAGATCAATGTTTGGGCCCCACGCCATACAAGGATAACCAACTGGGCAGCAGCTAGGAGGCTAAGTAAGCAGATGGACTTAATGGGCCTAAAGCCTAATTCGAACTGGCTTAATGAGATTAATTAAAAGAGGGTGGTTCTGGGATTTAGATCAGCAGATAGGATAAGGGATTATCCCTATCGACTCAAAGAGTCCAGATCCAAATAAAGATTTGGATCAGGAAACTCCTAATTAGATTAGGAAGGCTGATATTCATCTGTAGATAAGATAAGGGATTATCCTTATCTCTTAAAGAGAATCCAGATCCAAATAAAATATTTGGATTAGGAAAACTCCTAATGGGATTAGGAGAACCTCTCTTTAAGGCTATAAATAGAGGAGCAGGGCGAACCTCCAGATCATCTAACAGAAATCATCTGAGTGACTACTGATTTCCAGAGAGAGATAACACAGTTTGACTGCACTGTCTCCTTCTCTCCTGCTCTTGCCGCCATACCAGTTCGATCTCCACCTGTGGGAGCGATCAAGAAGAGTTCTTGATATTACCTTTTGGTAGAAAAGGTAATTTGAAGTCGTGCTCACTAGCCCTCCATCAGATTCTTGCTGAAGAATTCGGTTCTTGCTGAAGAACCATCCTACTGATTCTGCTTCATCGTGCACCGTGTCATCTTTGGCGGAATAAGTATTTGATTCTTTCCTTGGGCATAAACACCTTCATTGGAGGTTATTACTACTTCGTATCAGGTATATCCCTCCACTCCCTTTTGGTTTCAGATCTGGTCTGGTTTGGGTTCAAGATTGATCATTGAAAATGCAATTTTTTAAAATAGGAAATGCGATTCCCACATGGGAGAGAGAAATTTTTTGAAATTTCGCCCAACCTTCCTGCAGGGTTTGGCCATCCATATGATGGATCTCTCATCCCTTCAGTAGCAAGAAGCAAAATGTTGTTGCCCGTTCAAGTGCTGAGGCGGAATACAGGTGCATGGCCCATGGTGTGGCTGAAGTGTTATGGCTGAGATCTCTTCTTGAGGAACTAGGGATTGAGTATGAGAAACCATTGAGGTTGTATTGTGATAACCAAGCGGCTATCAATATTGCTCATAACCCCATCCAGCATGACAGAACTAAACATATTGAGGTTGTGAATGATGAATATCTATTCCCAACTTGAGTGGGAGTGTAGTGATACAGTGGACCAGACCTGATATTTTTTATGTGTG